TAATAAGATATTTTTATTTATTTTTAAATGATGCTTTATATGTTTTAATTGAAGAATGGTGTGAATCCTTTTACAAGTTTATGAAAAATATTATTACATTGTTTTATTTTATGAAATTCTTGTTGTATTTTATTTGTTAAATATTTGGGTAGAAGGGTGTCACATTATTTATCTTATTTTTAAGATTTATTTTGATCCTTTATATTTTAAAATGTTTATTTAGTTTTTCATCTCTTAAATTTTGGTAAATTTAGTCTTTTTGAAACAATGATTGTTTTCAATTTTGAAACACAAATTTGAATATTTTTTGATTGATTCAAGATTTAAAACTTGTCTCATTTAATTCATTGATATAAAAATTATTAAATGCAATTGAAGTTCAAGCCAAAAAGTGTCATGCTATGGTGAAAATCGCATAAAAATAAGTCAAAAAAATAAAATAAAAAGTCTAATTTCATATTATTTGCTAGTTGTTCTTAGGATATATTTTTCACACAATTTTAACATGTTAATAGCCCTTTTGGATTCAAACATCAATTAAATTTTATTATTTTCATATAAGTGAATCTAATATTACAAGTTTAATGTCTTGAATGAATAAAAAATTGATTCAAAATTGTGTCACAAAATTGAAAATGATCATTATTTTAAAAAGACAAAAATTGATCAAAATATAAAAGATAAATGATCAAAATAAATCTAAAAAAAATATAAAGGACTAAAAGTATAATTTAGTCAGTGTTTTAAAAACCGGTCAGGACCGGCCGATCGGATCGGTTGAATCGGGAACCGGTGATCCAATCGGCCCGAACCTTAAGTTAGATCGGTTATACATTCGACCCGTTATAAACTGGATTGAACTAGACAATTTTTCAGTTTGACTAGTGAACTGGTGGATCAAATCAGTTCAACCACAAAATTTTTATATTTTTTTTAAGGGACCACAAATCACAAAAATAACAATGAGAATTGAATCTTTTAATGGAAGAGCAAAAAGTTTTATTAAACATAACAATGACTACTTGTTCTAATGTATTTATTTGTAATATATGCAACTTAAATAACTTTTATAGTATATTATTAATGTTAAATTATATATTTAATAATATAATATTTATGTAGATATTACTTTTTTTTTTGATATCAGTTGCAAGCATATTATATATGTACATATTATTTATATTTTTAATTTATATTAATATACAGTTTAACATGTAATTTTTTTATGTATTTCTTTATACAAAATAAAAATAAAGGTAATTTTAAATAAGATGAAAATTAAAATTTAAAATAGGATATGAATTTATTGAAATTTATAAGCATAAAATATGTTTAACATGAATATTTTTTTTTAAAAAATTAATAAAAACCGAGTCATGCAGTTCAATTAGTGACCCATCGGTTCAACCTTTGACCCACTAACCCAGTACCCTAATCAGTTTGATGACCGGTCAAATTTTTAAAACTATGAATTTAGTCAAGTTTATCAAACTTATTACCTATACATTTTTATAATGTAATATTAACAAACATTTATATAAATTTAAAATTATATATATATATATATATATATATTAAATATGAACCTCTATTTTATGGGTAAATGTTTTTAGGAATTTTTCTTCAACGAGAGAGTTTATAGAAATTTTTTAACTTTCTACCTAATTTAATATTTTATTTATCATAATTATTTATAAATTAAATATTATTTTAAAACAATTTATCAATAAATAAAAATATTTTTTGGTTACAATATAAATTGTTTATCATAAATTTAAAATATAATTTTTATATTCAAATATAATATTTATTTATATATAATTTATAATAAGTTTTAATTATATGTAATAAATATGTATGTACATTGTACATGTTAAAATATTAATATATGTATATTTCTCATGAAAAATATTTGATTAAAAAATATTCCTCATAAAAATTCATTAAAAGTAATAAATTTTTTTTCTTGTATGTTTATATGGGAGTTAAAATTTAAATTTGCACTTTTTTTTTTTTGTTATGTTCCCATTATTAAGTTTTATTATTTTATCCTAATTGATTTAGTATGCACGGAAAATTAACTCTCCTTTTTTTTTTTGCTCTAATAACTTCTTCCATAAAATTAAGAAAAAAGTAAAATTAGAAAATCCTTAAAAAATGTATTTTAGATTTTCATAAAGAAGAAAAATATTATTTATTTAATAAACACAATTTTCTTAACTTATATAATACAAAAACTAATACAACTTTTACATCACACGAGTAACGAATGTGGGTCCCACCTCAGCTATCTTCATTAATGTTAGATATGTTATGCGTGTTCTGAGAAGAAAAATAAAAACTAAGTTTTGCTTTTATGTTTTCTTATTGATAAAAAAAAAAAAAACATAAAAACTTCGCCGCAACAAAAAGGCTGCTTTCACTACTTGCAACTAGAGTGTCCAGAAACCGAAGGCAAATGATAGCAATCTGGCTAGCCCAACAAGGCCCAAAAGTACCAGGACCAGCCCAGCTTGGATGAAAGATTATATTTTGGGCCAGGAGTTGCTGATAGAGGCCCATACAGTAGCTTATGTTTTCTTGCTTTTAATAATTGTATTTCTACACGTGTAGGAACTACATTTATGTTTCAGCACCTTTTTATGTAATAGACATATTTCCAACATTCGATATTTAAGTCCTCAATACAAATATATACATATATATATATATATAGAGATGGACATTAGAGAACAACATAATTAGTTTTTGCCACCATTGATCTTTATTTTGTATTGAATTTTAATAAATTTATTTAGATATATTTATAATGTTAGTATTCAATAAATTTAATTATTTGATGTTAGTTTCTGAGCTTTGGTATTTGATAAGTGAAAATAAAATAAAAAATTTATTTATAGGCCAGAACGACCCGTTCTGTTTGTAAAACGGCCCTTCTCATTCCACTTTTTATGTGCTAATTTTGATTTTGGAACGGCCCGTTCTGATCCATTTTTCATGTATTATTTTTTAATCCGGAACGACCCATTTTGATTTCAGAACGGCCCGTTCCGAACGTGAACAGTAAATAATACTAATTGAAAAAATAAATTTGTACAGTTATTATTTAAGTAAATATTTTTTAAAAATATTATTTGAGTAAAAAACTCTTTAACATAATTATAAATTCAAAATTCAAACTCAAGACTACTAATAAATTTATACTAGTTAATTCATATTCATGTCAATGTATTGTCTTATTTTAGTCATTGCAAATTTTTCTTATCATTTTAAATCCTTCACGGTAATGTTGACATGACTAGCAAGATGATGAATACTAATTAAGATATTTAATGTAACAAATAATATTTTAAATTAAAATAATTAGATAATTTTTATTTGCATGACTCAATTAATTAATATATTCATTATTTTATATACTTAAGTAATTGCTTGTAATTTTTTTCTTATTTTTGGTGTCGTTAACATTTGTTTAGTTTTTAATTCATTAATCTAGTTTTGATATTATTTTTTACAATATTAAAATTTACATAAACACTTAGTATGTACTTTTAATATAATATTTTTAATGTTATTTTTATATTTTAATTCATTAAATGATGATTTTGTCTTCAACTATAAAGCAATATATTAAAATTAAATTATAAGTGTTTAAGTAATTTTATGTAAAAATGTACAATAATGAAACTAAATCAGTCAATTAAAAAGTAAGGCAAATATTGAAAGTAATATATCGCTCATTCAGTGAACAAAAAAAATATTGTTCATAATTTTTGAATGGCTTAAAAATAAACTATATTTAATTAGTTTATTTATATGAAATAATAAATAAATTATTAATTAATTATATTATGCACCTTAATGTATCTAATTATTCTAATTGAAAATAGTCTTTGTTTCAGTCATGATCTTAGTTAATATTTTTTTTTAGTTACTTAGTACTTATAAACTAACTAGAATTAATAATTTTGTTGGTATATATATATCATAAGTACCATTCATTAAAAATAATCTTATTTGGATATGATAGAACTACTATAAACGATAATATTAGTTTTTCAGCCTTAGCAATTAATCCACGTTCTTGTAAGTAACTAAAAATAATGATTAAATTAAAAACAATGCTACAAAAATGTCAAACTACTTTCTTCTAATCAATTATTTTCCTCGCATTATTATGATTTATGACCTTCCATATTAACAATAACTCAAATAAGATTTAGTTCAATTTCTAATTAATAACACACAAAAATGCTTCATTTATTCTTCTTAAGATTGGATTCAGTAGACCTAAGTCAAAATGGTGTTTATATCTTTATTCTTGACAATGAAAATTTTGCAACAAAGATTTTTAAAGAAGATACCAAAAGACTTAACTAATAATTCTTTTTTATTTCAATAAAAAAAATTATTTTTTATTTCAATAAAAAAAATTATAAAGACAATTATGATTAAATTTAAGTCTTCATATATTTACTTATAATTCTAAATTTCTTACAGTAAGATTTTAGAATTCCAAATTAAGAAGAAAATACTCTGTCAGTTCTTACTAGAAAAACTGACTAAATCCTCAATATTTACTTAAATAATAACTGTACAAATTTATTTTTTCAATTAGTATTATTTACTGTTCACGTTCGGAACGGGCCGTTCTGAAATCAAAATGGGTCGTTCCGGATTAAAAAATAATACATGAAAAATGGATCAGAACGGGCCGTTCCAAAATCAAAATTAGCACATAAAAAGTGGAATGAGAAGGGCCGTTTTTGCCACCATTGATCTTTATTTTGTATTGAATTTTAATAAATTTATTTAGATATATTTATAATGTTAGTATTCAATAAATTTAATTATTTGATGTTAGTTTCTGAGCTTTGGTATTTGATAAGTTTTTTGAATACCCCATTTTTTTATATACATAAAGAACAATAATTATTTATTGTTTTGGTTAACAAGAAAATAGAATTCCTTTCCTGTCAATCTACTTAAAAGTAAAATAATACTTTTGATTTGATAATTTACATAAGTTAATCATCAAATTCTGATCTTTTGGTAACCAATACAACTATTCAACCATTTATGTTAATAATTATTATTCACAATACTTATTATTTCTCTTTATCTGTTTTTCTTATTATATCATATAATCTATCATGTTTATATACCTTTTTCACTGAGTATATATCATATATCATATGAGTGTACAGAAATTATTACTCTCCTTTTATCTGTGAATTGACTAGTCTTTGGAAAATTTTCTTGCATGCCTTTGACAGAAATATTTTACCCTTTTCATACCCTCCTCAAGATCAGATGGGTCAACAGCAAAAATAATACGAAGCCAATTTTTCAGCCCTACTGCAGTTCCTGCAAATTAAATTATAAGAATAAGGTTGTATTTGACCTGACTTTATTTATCTATTTATATAAATTTAATAGTTAATTTAAAATTGAAATATAAGATCTTTAACTTTAAAATTAAAATATTCTATAGTAATTTTATACTCTCTCCGTTTTTTTTTTTCATAGTCGTTTTGTCAAAGTTTGTTGTTTTTTTTTCATTGTCATATTACTAAAATCAATGAGTTATTAATTTTTTTTTCATTTTTACCCTTGATAATTAATACATGTTTCATGAACAATGTGTGTATTTATTTTTAATGTCTACCTAATTTTTCTCCAACTACTCATATAAAATTAATGTGCATTTATAAGAGCAATATGTTTCCAACAAAATACTATAAAAAAATATAAAAAGGGACAACTATTTAATGGAGTAGTTCAACAGTCTAAAAAATGCAAAAAAAAATAAAGGGTAAAATTGGAAAGTAAGTAATAAATATTTTTGAAAACTAAAATATCAATGATTTCCTTAAGTCTCGTGCAAAACCTTAAACGACTATGAAAAAAAAACGGAGGGAGTATCTTTTATGTGATGCCCCAAGTCTTTCCTTTTCTTCCTACACTTCCCTATTTCCTAAAACACTCTTCCACCTCATTTTCTAGCTGATCAGTTGTAACGGGAGGGAAGCTCAAACTCGGAGGGTCGGGAATTGTCTCATTCTTCTTCTCCATCTTTTCCACACTTCTCTTCATTCTTCGGTGCTTCTGAAATTAGGTTAGGGAAGTTCACTTTCAGGTTGTGTGGATTGAATTCGTGTTGTTTGAGGTGTTGGTGGTGTGTGTGGGACGATTTGAGCTGTTGAAGGGGGGGAAGTTGGGTTTTTGGTGTTGTATTGGAAATGATGAGAATTAGGACAAAGATGATGGTTGTATGTTCATGTTCTAAGTTGTTTCAGTTGCTTTACATTGTTGTAAAGGCTTGGGAATGGTTGTATGTGTTGGATTCTCCTTGAATTGCAAGTTTTGGTGAAATTTGCGAAGTGGGTATGTTGGATTTTGAACTCGCGTCGGGCGTGCCTTCATGGCACCGAACGAGCATTCAATAGAGACCCAAGTATCACAACCACGCCGAGCGCGAAGTTGGTCGCGTTGGGCATGAAGTGAGATTGAGGTCTCTGATTGAATGGCGCTGGACGTGGAGGAGGTGGCACCGGGCGTGTTATCAGAAAAAGGAATATGGGAACCTCTACTGATATGGCGCCGGGCATGACACTTACCACGTCAGGAGTAATTCTTTAAAGGAGTCTCTGCCAAGTCTTAGTGTTGGGCGAGACACCCTAGGCGTGAGAGGGCCTTGTTGCCCTCGGGGTATATTCGTCAGGTGTGGAACTTACCACGTCGAGCGTGGAAATTCCCACGTTTGGCGAGATCTGCTAGACTGACGTGTGGGGTGACTTTCCCATGCCGGGCGTGAGAGAGAGCTTTAGAGTTCTCTATTTGAGCTTAACACCGGGCAAAATGGGAATTTTTCCGGGCACGACTCTATTACAATATGTGGATTGAAATGTTGATTTCTTAATGATGAAAATGAGTTGTATACTTGCTGGTTCAGTTGTTTAAGTGTTGTTAATGCGGATGCTATATTAATGTGTTGCAATAGACATATGTTGAGTGGTTAAGGTGAAATGTTAAGTTGTATGCTGTTTAGGTTGCAAAGTTGATTAAAAGTTGCTACGTTGAATGAAATTTTCTAAGTTGTTTAAAAGTCGATAACTTGCTGCCTATGGTTGTAAAGTTGATAAGTTGAGGATATATAGTTGATGATATGTGTCTTATGTTGAGTTACGTAGTGTTAAGGTGAAAGTTGAAAGATGTTTTTAAAGTGGATTCCCTTAGTATTATATGGGCAACATGGAAGTAGTTGATCCATGTTATGGTTGAATGACCAAAGTGAATAAGGTATCTTATTAGAGATGTAGTTTTTGACTAAGTACTGGAGGATGCGTGGTACTTGGAGGACAATGGGTGGACTAACTCCACATGTGGATTGGTGATGCAGGCCAAGGCCGTGGTAGGCTCATACCCAAACCCTTCTACCCTAATAGTAGTACTAGACCTCCGAGTCTAAGTAGCACACATAAGAAATCAACTATTGTTGTTCATACCTGATTTTCTTTAGAGTTCCTAAAGTTGTACTATACCTGACCTGACTGAGATAGGTCTAAAGCTAGATTTGATAGAGTTTATGCCACCTAGACTGCTCAACCTCAGTTGTTGAAGATCTCCTAAGTTGTATATGCGTGACGACATATTTGTTGATGTTGTGTATATTTATATATGTTATTGTTTAAGTTGACAGTTGAAAGTTGAATGTTGTGTTCCCTTTAGTTGTTCATTATATGATGTTGATTTTATATGATGATTGTTTTTGTGAGCTTACTGGTTGTTTCCTTATAGTTGAAACTGGTATGACCATACAATTGTATGCAAGCACATTAGGAGTATATGCCCTTGCGATGTTGGGCAAACATTCTTTTGGATGAGACTTAGGAAATGAGTTGATATTTTGTTGTTTTTTATTGTGATCGGCCACCTAGTTATTTTGTATATGATATTTCATCATTTACTTCCAGTTGTATATGTATCAGTATATGAGATTTAGTTGTATGTTCTCAGTATGTATATAACTTTGACAGTGTTTTATTTTATGCATTTTGCATGATATGGAAAAATGTAATTGATAAATTTTCCACTAACACTATAGACCGTATGAAATTTGCTGGATCGTTACATTTTAAACTTAAGAATTACTTTCAAGTTTAAAATTTCTTAGATATTATATATATATATATA